TATTTTTATGTTTTCTGATGTATTTAGTATAAACTGTATTTTTATAAGGAACAAAAAAGGTACATGCATTGTGAAAAATTCTCTGTGCTTTAGTTGTGATAAATTGTTTTGTTTTGCTAGTGTACGTTGTAATGATCTCATGATCGCATGTTTTTATGTTTTTGTTTGTCAAAATAAAATTTTACTACATCCTTTCGTACGTAGTTCTTGTCGAAACGAAAGGGAAGGGAGCGAGAGGCCTCTCCCCCCTTAAGTGTCCCGTTTTGGCAACAGAGATATCTGGCAACCCTATACAGTGAGCATGTGCCGATATCGCAGCAAGCAGCATTTTGAAGTAATAAAAAACAAAAACAGTTGCCAAACGAAATACACGATGTATAGTGTTTGTTTCTTTGAACGCAGCGCTGCTTGTACATACATACATGAATTTTGCTTTGGACGCAGCGCTGCTTGTACATAAGTTGCGCTCTGCGCCTGCCTGAAACTGGCAAAGGTTCTTTTTTTAAATTTTTGCGCTCTGCTATCTGAGTATAAAAAAAGAGAATAGGGTGAAATATGTATGTGGTTAGTTGATGTTCTCTAAACACAAACGCGTGAAAGGCAAACGGTCTAGCAATGCGTGGTATTGTTGATCATCTTAATAACTACTTTAATTAAACATACTTATTATTAAAATTTCATTTTAAAAATACCACTGTTTCCTACTAAGGTAGAAATATATCATTTTAAAAGTTTAATCATAGAAATCGACTCAGTACATCAGCTGGTTTGCTCTCACGCTCTTTTGTGTTTGAATTTTAAATATAGTATAGATAAAACTTGAATCATAGAAATCGACCCAGTACATCGGCTATTTTGCTCTCACGCTCTTTTGGGTTTGAATTTTATATATAGTATAGATATAGATTTAGGGATTTAAATTTTAGATAGTTGGCAGCCCTCTTCAAAATTATTACTCATAAGAAAAGTTCATTTAAATACCTTTCATTCGCTGAACGATATTTTACTCCGGATGTATATTTAATTGATAAAATTTTAGACATGTGGCAACCTTGTATGTTGGTATTTTGACCTAGAGCGGTGAAGCAGGAAATTTTCCGACTCAAACAAATATAGAATATACATGTCTAGAAGGAAATATTGCAACGCGTTCAGCGAATGAAAGGCATTTTAATGCCTCTTATCCAGAAAAAATAATTTTGAAGAGGGTTGCCAACTATTTAAATATTTGAATATCTGTATAAATAAAACAAAGTGACTTACGTAAGTTCGAGCTTAGATGTAGAGCTGTTTTTTGTCGTATTAAAATCCGGAAAAATTTAACTTCCATAGATTTTGTTTACGACATTTTTTATTTGTTTAATTTTGTTCGTAATATTACAATTAATGGTTGCCCAAGTTCAAAATTTTATCAATGCTAAACAATTCGTATGTGTCAGGTTAGAGTGCGTTGTAAATTCTTAGCGGTTGCCCACGTTCAAAATTGTATCAATGCTGAACAATTATGTGTTAGGTTAGAGTGCGTTGTAAATTCTTAGAGAATACATTATTAGTTTGAAGTTTTCGACATAGTACGTTCAGTATTTGTAAACCACTCGCCGATCAGAAAATGAAACATTGGCTCACACAACCGCAATTTAGAGATTGGGGATTAGCAGTGCAAATCAAAACCCTCAACAACGTGCACAAGTTAATGAACAGCTTCGAGCGAACGCGTTGCAAATTCATGCAGGACGTTCTCTGGAGGAACAAGCTCCTTAACAACTCAAACAAAAGCGGAATCCGGAACTATTTACATCGCAAAGTGAGGAGAACTACCGCAAATGTCCAATTACTTTGACACGCTGCACTATTGAGTATATCGAACTCCCGTGTATTACAATTGGTCCAGCTAATTTGATTTGCGAATATTACAACGCGAAAACTTTCATTAGAAAACACCAGGATTCAGCTGTGCAGGGGTTATAGTCAAACTGCTACCACTAAATCAACCACCAGAACTCCTGCGCTCATTGCTTTATGGCGACTTCCCAGAATAGGGACAATTCTTGCTGAATGCTCACAAATGCAATGATTAGACATTTAAAGTACATATTTCACACCAAATACTCACCCATTTTGAACTTGCCACCAGCTATAAGTTCTATACACATTTAAGAACAGATTCATTATCAAACTGGATCATTGTTGCCGCCAGCGAATGAAGAGAAAATAATTCTTTAAATTTATTTCGTTGGCAACACTGATATCATGATCAGCGTTATGCTCACGGTTGCCGTTTTGGCCGAAATGTACCATTTTTGGTACATATTTTCCAGTTTGGTACACAGGTACGTAACTTTCAGAATTGGTACATTTTTTAATCTGACAAAATGAGAAAATTATTACTTACATCATATACCTACTTAAAGAGTTCAAGCGTTTGTGTGAAGGCCAANTTTGGTACACAGGTACGTAACTTTCAGAATTGGTACATTTTTTAATCTGACAAAATGAGAAAATTATTACTTACATCATATACCTACTTAAAGAGCAACAAATTGTCTAACTCAGGTAATTGAAAAGGCATTGCTATAAGCATATAGTCCTTTACGGGTTTCTTGACATTCAAGCAAAATCCAAGGCCATGACATGCCATGAAGATATTCCCAATGTAATAACTACATGTAACATAAGCATATTGAATCCAGGACTATAATATCAATATAATATAATATACAAAGAAGCGTTAGGCATGAGATCCTGGAAAAGCANATTGTCTAACTCAGGTAATTGAAAAGGCATTGCTATAAGCATATAGTCCTTTACGGGTTTCTTGACATTCAAGCAAAATCCAAGGCCATGACATGCCATGAAGATATTCCCAATGTAATAACTACATGTAACATAAGCATGTTGAATCCAGGACTATAATATCAGAACAAAGAAGCGTTAGGCATGAGATCCTGGAAAAGCAATAAAGTATATAAAAAGTATAAGCTACTCATCATCGTGGTGGGCTACAATGAAGGCAAGATTGCCTCTAGATTGCAGGGAGACTTTAAACTGACTGAGAAATCAATCTCCGTAATTTCTATCACAAGAGGCGAAGCATTCAGGGGTCAACTTAAAGTCTCTTCTCATTGCTGTTAACAACTAGGCTGTCAGAGGCACTGACGTTTTGGGTATTCAATACAGTGATAAATCCGATTATTACGTACTAAGTAAGCACCGTCCAGGAGGCCAAAAGTCAAGCACCAATCTGTCTGTGTAGCCATTATAGGAGCCATGCGCACCTGCCCTACGAAAGCACTCTAATCGTCACATACCATACTAATTGACAATGAGGCTTGCTGAAGCGATTTGTGTCTCAGCAATTTGGTGAGCATAAGAAGCCGGACCTTCAAGGGCTGTTGATAGTTTTAAACCAATCTGTGAGGATCCCTCGATAAACTCAAAGACAAAATGTTACCGAAAGTATCCTTCCAGTAGCCCTACAAGGTAATAATTTCTAAAGGGTAACTCATTTTCGTTGTTGGTGTTTCCGACAGGGTAGGAGTACGACAACTACATATATGTATGGGCAATGTGTATTTTTAAAATATTTGAATAATTAAATATTTAGCTTAAACCTATTTTGGTAAATTTTTTGTATTTTGGTACACGTTTTGGTACACATAAAAATTACTAAGTGGCAACCGTGCTATCAACAGTGCAATGAAGCGCCATTGGAAAATAGCAGGAACTTCATCACGGACACAACGGTTTTGTTAAGTTATTTAGGACAGCAACGGAAAATATGTATTCTGACGACCCCAAAACCATAATCAGATGTGAACGTAAATTGTTGGATCAAAATGTTTACAGAAAAATAATACTTTTTGGGCGGCGGGAGAAGTTCTCCGATCTGCTAGTAAATATTTATATATAAATGATACAATCATATAATCAATAAAAATGTATATACATAAATGTTATTTATGTATGTATATTTATATTTATACACATTTATGTTTATATTTATTTTGCATATGTTTGCCACTTTTATTTTTCCAAATGGCAACTTCTCCCTTCAAATTTCAATGAATAATCTTCTAAAAAGTCGCTTATTACCCATATCCCGCGATGTGCTCACTTCAACGGTTCAAACTAAACTGATTTGACGAAATGGGTAAGTATTCGCGAACTGCGCCATTAGCGGTAGAACAAATCAGAAGGATTCGAATATTTTCAAATATATCTGATTTGACGGCGCACCACACCACTAACGATAAAAATTACATCGAACACGAAAAAATCTGACTGAATTGTTGGACGTTAGTCGCTAGCTTTATGCGACTTTCAAATAAACGGCTCATATGTAGAAATATTAAACGTAAATATTATAGTGAAAATTATGCTTTTTAAAACGCCGATATTATAGATACACGTATGAGCCAGCTTCGCAACTTGCCCTTGATGCATATGTGGAGAGGATAACCAACCCTGTACGCCACGTTGCCAAGGAAGTTCATAGAATCTCGCATTATCCTGAGCCAGCCAAAAAATATGTTGGTATGTAAAAAAAAATTGTTTAGTATATATGTAGTACATATTGCTCATTTGCTGGGCGAACGTCATAATTCAAATAGCGAAAGCCATGAGAAAAAACGCCGTCAACTATTTAGGCAGTTACTTCTCTATGGACTAAAAAATGACTAAAAAATTGTAATAAATATAATTGAAAGTTTTAACCCCTAGTATAAAGCTACCATCAAATCTTAATTATGTTCCTTACTTTGGTTACTAACCGATTTTTTCCAGTTACTTTAGGTTCTAAGCTACGTTACAAAAGATCAAATTTTCAATTAGCAATTTTTTTAATTTTTATTTATAATAGGCTTGAATAATGTACGTATTTCCTCACAAACATGTGAAAAAAACAAAGTTATTTTACCCTTTCGGGACGGAGTTTAATTTGGAAAACTGAAATAGTTTCAACAAAAAATTGTGCTAATACTGAAAGTGATACAAAACTTTGATATTTTTGATAAGCTTCACTTCTTACCTCCGGTGGGGGATAGTGAAGTAGACAAATATTACACTCAGAAAAAAAATTCCTTGATGCTTGGAAAAAAGTATATTATTTTAAGGAAATATTAGCTCCAATGACATGGCTGCCTTAAAATGAGGAAGCGATTTGACTCAGTTTAAGGAAAATAAGATAAAATTATTTGCCATTTCATCCCCCGTGAAGGTCATTTTGCTCGTGGCACGTAAACAGTGGCAATGGCCGAAAGAGCAAAGCTCTGGAGTGCTAGTCGAGAGATGCAAGGTTCGAGTCCCAGAGCAGGACTTTTTTTTTAATTTTTTTTATTTTGTTAATAGTAATTTTTCAAATTGTGTTTATCTTTTAAAGTATTTGAGTATTTAGTTTTTTCCATATATTAATTTTACAATTTGTAATTTATATTTAAATTTAAATAACTAACTTACCTTACTCCAACCGCCTCCAACCGGACTCGGACCTGCGATCTCAGAACCAAAAGCAGTAATCTTCACGCGACGCCACAGCCGACATTTTCCAGGAAAGCAATAAACTTCGTCTAAATAGCACTGACAAAATTATTACTTATATTGAGTAAATTTACTTCCTGAAATTAATGACGTGCTATTTTTAGCATGAACCTGAGTTAAGAAAAAACTTCTAAAATTTAGCCAATTTTCGTAATATTAAGGTAAAAACAGTAACTCTAAAATAAGGATACTGTTTTCTTGTTTTAAGAAAATTCTTTTTTCTGAGTGTAGTAGTGTACGCTGGGAGATTTTTGTATTGAATCTCAACTCTATATTTAAGTTTTGTTCCTTGTATACACTTTTCTTATTCCATTCTTATCCTATTGTATTAACATCTACTATATATTTGTGAAAGTATGTATGTATGTATTTATGTATGTATGTATGTGCCAGCTTGCAGTCTAAATGGACGGACAGAATCGAACAAAATTTCGACAGAGTATTGCCATGACACTTGGGCCTATAATAACGTGAAAAAAGTGGGATCCGACAAGGGGGCGTGGCTCCTCCCATAGGCGTGAAATTTTAATCAGTCATAACTTCCAGACCATAAGTCACGTGAACTTGAAACTTGGTATGCAGACATGTCAATGGTAGATGCAGGTATATATAAACGAGTTTGTAAAAGGGAGCGTGGCCCATCCCATAGGCGAGGAATTTTTTATCAGCTATAACTTCGGAACCATAAGTCCCACGAACTTGAAATTTGGTATGCAGACATATCGATGGTAGGTGCTTATAGTAGGGTATATATAAACGGGTTTGTAAAAGGGGGCGGGGCACATCCCATAGGCGTGGAATATTTTATCAGCTATAACTTCGGAACCATAAGTCCCACGACCTTGAAATTAGGTATGCAGACATATCAATGGTAGGTGCTTATAGGAGGGTATATATAAACTAGTTTGTAAAAGGGGCGTGGCACATCGCATAGGCGTGGATTTTTTTATCAGCTATAACTTCGAAACCATAAGTCCCACGAACTTGAAATTTGATATGCAGACATATCAATGGTAGGTGCTAATAGGAGGGTATATATAAACGAGTTTGTGAAAGGGGGCGTGGCATATCCCATATTCGTTGAAATTTTTATCAACTATAACTTCGGAACCACATGTCGCATCAAGTTGAAATTTGGTATGCAGTTNCTCGAAGTAATTTTAGTTTAAAAAAGGGCACTAAAAAAGGCACTAGGCACTAAATAATTTTTTTTGGCGTTTTAATTTTCAAAAAGCACTAAATCTAGTGCTTAAAGCACCAAGTTGGAAACTATGGTTTTTTAGCTTACGATGGTATAAGTAGTAGAAATGTAATTTAGCAAAAAAAGTGTTATCTATTCCACATGTATACTATCATCGTCTTCGTGCTGGTATTTCGCCAAAGCAAATCAAATCAGTTGCTGTTGAGAGTGTTCGGACGCAAAAAGTTTCCTTAGCGGTAAATAAGCATAGAAATTGTGGTACATCCCAAAACAATGTGGTAGATTCAAATAAATAAATTTATAAGTATGTTATATGCACTTATGGTCAGGGTTTAAGTTAAGTGACATTTTGACCAGTTTTGGCTATCTATATTTTTTGTTTATTTAATGTTCCCTTTTTTTTGCTGACGTTGCTAGGCATTTTCTTAGCGCTTTACAATTGCACTTTGACCTACTAAATTTGAATGGGCTATAAAACTGCATACCTAAAACTTTTCTAGAAATTCTAAATAAAAAGCCAAAGCGACAGAATAAGATGCTTTTTTTTAGAAATGAAATAACATTTTCTGATAGAGAATCATTTTCTGATAGACATTGACAATTTTCGTGTTGATGTATATTACTTTCACCAACAATAAATTTAATAAAGAACGCTGCTTTTAATTCTAAAAGCTTCAGTGCTTGATCTCCCTCTTTCACCTTTTCAAAATGACTATGATACAGTTTGTAATGTCTTTTTAAACAAGACATAACATTGCGACTCATAACGCGATAGCAGATCACGCACTGCGCACATCTATCCATGCAAGGCACATTAAACAGGTAGTATCAGTAGAGCAAAAACAACATTTGCGTGTATTTTGTTGTTGCTTCTGGTATCGAAAGTGTCAAAAACTGTTCTGAATTTTTTCTTCTAAATCAAAGCGTGCCATGTGAAATACAAAAAATTATAAAAAATAAAAAATTGAAATTGGAAAAAATAAAAATTGATGCAACTTTCTTTCCTAGTAAATTTGTTTGCTTCTCGAAGCATTGATCCATCCTTTGCAAGGCCCAGTAATCAGCGGTCGTGCTGCCGAGTTGGGCGAACGTTCCAAAAGCTGCTATTCAATCGCTTGTTTTGTATGGAAAAAGGTTTCACATGCAAATGGATTTTAACAATTCAGAATTTTTATGAAAAAAAAATTAAAAATATTTGACATTTTCGAGACCAAATAATTTGAAAATAAATCAAATCAGCTGCTCTACTGATACTACCTGTTCAATGTACCTTGTATCCATGTTTTCTATGCAAAAAAAAATGTATTTCCCATTCCTCCCAAAACATTTTATGTGTGTATTATTTGAATAGTTGCGCAGTGAAGTCTCAGCAGCAACTGATTTGATTTGCTTTGCCAAAGTGCGTGATTCAGTAATACAAGGTTAGATAATTATTGGCAGCTGCGATTTGACACTCCCTTACAAAAGGTTGCATTTACGAAGGGCAGAGAAAGGGCAAGAATGCAATCCCTTGTTGCGAAAATGGTAGTAGAAAAGTACGCAAAGTAGGCAATTAGTTGATATATCTGCGTGAATTACGTAATTTATGCGCTATTTAGCTGTATAAAAACTGCAAAATGACTCAAAATTAAAATAAGACTGCTATGAGATTGATGTAAACATCCAACGCTTATGTTTTCATCAGTTAAATATGCTTCATATGCATATACAAATAAACAGATTGCACAAAAGCTTATACTTTTATTTCACACCAAAGCTACACTGTTTCCATGTAAATTTGCAAAGAAGCAACACGGTGCCACTGCTAAAGGAGCGGTGCGAGAGAGACAACTGTCAGTTTATCGAACCTTGTATTATTGAATCATGGCCAAAGTGCTAGCAAAGCATCATTCAATCGTCAATTATCGTTAGACGCACGAAGATGATCATATCATACATTTGTCGATGTCGCAGCAAGCAATGTTGTTTTTTGTTGTAGAAAATGCCTATTCAATAAAGCGCAAATGAACAAATTAAAAAAAGAAGTTTCAAGATCTGAAAGTTTTTTACAGTGTTGCCATCTTACTAACACTAAAAGCACCAAATTTTTTTGAATCAAGGGATGCTTTTTTCATAACATAATACCGAAGTACTGCACATTAAAACTGGTATATCTCGAGAAAGAAAAATCGAATCGCATCAAACGAAAATGATGCCCTAATTAGAAATGAGCAAATAATTTGACGTTTTCATTATATAACCTCAAATATCGCTAAAAACCGTGTTATTGGCACATTGAGGTTAGGATAACTCAAAATTCTAGTGCTAGAGCAATTGTGAGGCCAGATTTGGATTTAGCACCAAGAAACGATGTGTTTTACTCAGGTGGTAAAAAAACAAAATTTGTACTAATAATTAGAAAAGAAAAAACAAATACTTAACTTATTGCGTACTAGCATTTTCAACGCAAATAGAATTTAACAAGGTGGGTTTGCAACTTCAGCTTTTTATCAATCGTGGTTGTATTTTAGTCCATTTAAATTTGTAGATTCTTGTAAATTCAGTGCGGCCACAGCCTTAAATATTCCAAATTATTTCAGGTTTTAACTATCTCGAAGTAATTTTAGTTTAAAAAAAAGCACTAAAAAAGGCACTAGGCACTAAATAATTTTTTTTGGCGTTTTAATTTTCAAAAAGCACTAAATCTAGTGCTTAAAGCACCAAGTTGGAAACTATGGTTTTTTAGCTTACGATGGTATAAGTAGTAGAAATGTAATTTAGCAAAAAAAGTGTTATCTATTCCACAAATGTGGTAAGTC